CATAAGATTTGCCTAAATTCTTACCAAAACTAATTTCATGTCAGATTCATGGAAGAGAAGCCAGAATATGCACTGGGAGGACTTTAGATCGGTGTTTCTTTACATTATAGTGGAAGTACTTCTGTAATTAATTCAGGTCTGCACTTATTCAATATCTAAACAGGTACAATCAGCTGTACAAGGGAATTTGAAAATAACGTATCTATATTATCTTCTGATAACAAGAACAGTATGGTTGCGTTACCATAGCGTATTCAACAATGCCATTGCTGAGAATCTCAGTATACTTATTTTTCTAATCTAAGCTTTAGTGTTTAATGTCAAAGCTCTAAGCTTTAATATGTAATTCTGTATCAGACCACCAAAAGAGACCCTAGGAACAGAGAGGGCATCTGACTCTTTGCAAAAGTCTTAATTTGTCACTCTCCTTTTGGCCTATGTGGTTTATTATTATAATTTTGTAATTTTCCAGTGGCTCATAACATGATAATCGATTACATAATCACTCCCTACTGTATGTACTTACTCATCACACGAAACACTCCGCATTGTACTGTTACACATTTGTTTACAAATGGATTGCCTAAAAGCTTACTATTGTGACACAATAAATGGAATAACAGGAAATACCATTTTCTGTATGATAAAGAAGTCCTTGTTGTGTATGGTAAAGGCTTTATTAAACATTTTCTTCTCCACTACTGTCCACTTATCAGACCCTGCAAGATAAAGGGCAGAAACAGAACAGATGAATTTATTATGTTCTTTCTAAATACATGAGCAACAAAAAAATGACTTCATTTCCACACTGAAACTGAACCAAAGTTGCACAGTTTCTCTTATTATCATGCATGCAGTGATTCCAATTAGGGTAAGTAGTGGAATCTAACATAAGTTTCAATCAGAGGATTCTTAAGCATGGTGACTGAAAGCCTGAAAATCCAGACAGAAGACAGAACGTCCTAAAGGCTCGGTATAAGGTCTACAAGGTCTCCAGCAGTTGATGTTGACTGGATGAAACTTTTAACAGTAATAATGGTGTGATAATCAAAGTCAATTTGTAGTTACTGAGAAACTGGGACACCAACATACCTGCATAATGATAACCTGTAAGAGGGTTAGACTTGTGTCTCACTGGCTTCAGCACAAGCAATTTCTCCACGGTTGCCTGTCAATAATAAAAAAAAGACCTGTTAACAGCCTCTGTGTTCAGATCTTTACAGTGTCCAAGCAGAATTTTGTCACTTTTAAAAGCGAACCTTATCAGACTCAATAAAGGAAACCGTTCTCAGAAATTATGATGAAACACAGCAACTATCTTAAAACGACGGAAAAAATTATGGTTGACATTTTTATTCTTGCATTTCTGTCCATTTAATGATAATTTTGCTAATAAATGGAAAACTACTTGATCTTGTTCATTAAAAAAAGCAAAAATCACAGGGTAAGCCCTAAAGCACTCCTGGTCATTTGCAAAACGCTGCATTTGGCTAAAACTCACATTTCAGTACAGTGTCTAGCCATCTCAGCTGGCATTTAGCTCTTATGTAAATGTGTCCTGTTGCTATTGTCTGCATGAGGACTCTTACCATGAAGTTCCCTCTGCATTCAAAAAGAGAGTGGAGTGCTAGTTCAGTGTTGGCGCCCCCTCCTGGCAGTATGCTGGAACATGCCATATTCACAAGATCGTCCACTGTCAGAGTGGTGGGAGTGCGTTAGGGACTGTATGAAACTGACTTTCTTCAAAATCAGGCAGGTTATAAATCACAAAGCAGTCTATGGAATCGTAGTCAGTGCCCCACAAGTACCTTTCTGCTGGGTAGCTGGGCTGTCCAAGTCCGGCCAGGGGGTCCACAGAAGGCCAGCCTTGTGTACGTCCTTTTCCACCTGGCATGGTTCCTGCAAGTCGGGAATCACAGCCTGGAAACGGGGGCCGATGTTGATCCGCCTGCAATGAATGGACACTGACCTCAGAACCAGGTGGCCACCTTCAGGAACGCCAGTTAGCTTACATTGTGTGAAAATTACTGTGGAATAGGGGGTGTTAGAGATTACGGTTCAATGTCCACAGGCTTCTCTCCCGGGCCCAGTGTTGTCAATATAAGATTTCCAGAAGCATTATCTGCCAATCACAACCAAACAACTGTATACTGTATACTGACACATACTTTGAAACACATTAAGTTCCAACCATAAAGTTTCCTTGTGCGCTTAATTATTTCAGCCGGTGTGAAAACGTAATATACAATATCAGTATAAGGTCCAGACACACCTACTGGAAATTATTTGTTTACCAACAAGATAATGAGCCCAAGCACACCTCAATGTTATGTGAGCGCCGTATGGTCTTGTGAACAAGCAAAGAGATGGAGTGCTGTGACAGGTGACCTGCCCCCCCACAACCCCCCCAACATAAACCATATAGAGCTGCTTGAAAAGGATTGAAAAGTAAAAGCCAGGTAGCCAACTTGAGCTCAGAACTTGTGGAAACTCCTTCAGGACTGTTGGAGAAGCATTCCAGGTGGCTACATCTGCAAGCTGGTTGAAAGAATGCCAAGAGTCTACAATACTGTCATTGAAGCTAAGGGGGGCTATTTTGAAGAATCTAAAGTCTGAAAAAAATTTGAGATGTCCAGCACTTTGATATGTATTATTTCATAGCTTTGAGGCCTTTTACTATAAGGTGAATAACATAGTTAAAACAGAGACAAATGCATTATAAGCATGTGTGTTCACATCGGTTAACATCAATTTGTGCACATACAAACTTACTTGTTTTGCAGATGATCACACGTGGAGGGACTGGGTTGAGGGTCCCTCCCGGCGGCCCTGGGGCTGTTTTAACATTGCTGAAGAGGCCAGATCCTTGTCGGACAGGGCTGAGCATGGGGGGCGGCGTGTAGGAGCTGGAGTCGCCCGCAATGTGCGGGGAGCGCAGCTGGCTCTGGTACAGGATGGTGACTCTGGCGGCCGAGCTGGGGCTGGATGTGGGAATGACCAGCGGCTGCAGCCGATGCCGGTTCTTCTTCTTCACTGGCCTGGCTGCCTGACCCTCTACCTCTCTGGCTCTCTCGCTTTTTAACATCTGCACAGCAGAAAGAGGCAGCCCGCCAAACGAAACGGAGAGATTATGCCCTGCGTTTGTTAGACACACAATCACTAGGTCAAAACACATTTTTAAGTCTGTCATAATTTATTTTACAGCTTTTTGCTATTGTCAATGAGCAGAAATATCATTTCAAAACATAAAACTAATGACCAGCATAAAAACATGTATTACAATGTATAATGATTTTGTTTCCTTTAAGGCACTTATAAACACTATTAAATAGTCCTATTGAGTGTTTTTATACATTTGTCTAAACTGTTCACGTTTATGTTTGATGACTAATAATGACATACAGGCTAACATGTTACAGAATAACAAGGTCAATTATTCTGCGACATTTGTTCTAAATGAGAAACTCCTTCATTTGGTAACATTGTTATGTCCCACAACCTAGCAGTTTGAAGATGGATGGATGGATGGAAGGTGTACACAAACAGAAAGAGATTTGACTACAGAATAATCTGAATTTAGACCATTCATTGGTTCTGATTAACAGGTTTCTGGTTGGCTTAAACGAGGAAGCCAAACTAAAAAGGTCCAATCATGCGAAAGTGAGGGCACAGGAGTCAAGTCAGCTGTGGGAATTGGGGGAGGAATGGGGGCGGGAGCAGGGAGTGATAGGAGCTGGGTTTCCGGAGGGCCAGCATTGGTGGTGGTGGGGTTTGGGGGTGGGGGTGGTGCACTCACAGAGGAAGCGGCATGTATCTGGGGCCCGTCAGAGCATGGCCAAGGCACCTGTGGAGACAGCCCGGTGCGGTTGGTGGGGCCTTTGTCAGGGCTGGGCCAGTGAGGAGCGAGGGGCAACTTGGTGACAACGGGCTGAAGCTTGACAGGCACAGAGACAGGCATGACGACTGGGCGGGCAGGCTCATCCTCCCGGGGCAGAGGAGCGCCCCCTTCCTTCTGCTTGTAGATACACACAGAAGCAGTCCGACGTTTGACCCACATTTCCGTAACAGTCTACTTATGGTCATCATCCTGGTTTGCATCAATGATTGATAGTATAACTACAATAGTACAATATTGCCTATTCTCGACTATTCTAAAACTACTATTCTAAAATGACTATTTTATGCAAGATCCATCATTGTCAAACATGCACTGTCATTAAAAAAATGCACTGTGAGACACATAAGTACAGATTTAGCTGACTTAATTCTAGAGCCTCGTGTTTGGCGAAAATACCTGAGCAAAACCATCTAAATATCATTCACGAAAAGCACCGAGATTATTTCAGCATCATTGAATCAACTGCAATGGCAGAAATCTGACCGAAGACCTTTCAAGAGTGACGGCGAGTTAAACTCCCTTAATGTGCAGTCAGATGCTGCTGAATGTTGTCAGAACATCACAAACCCAAACCCAGAAGCTGTATTGCCAAGGTTCTGGGTCCGTGTGGAGTTGAAAGTGATCTCTTAGAATGCAAATGATTTTTCTGATCGTCATGTTCACAAAAGCCACAGCCAAGCGGAAAGCACCATCAATCAGCACAAGCTAAACATTGCGTTTTTAATCGAAAACGTGCTCCAAGCCAGCATGACACGGCCCAGGCCTAAAACTCCTATAAGAGACTTCAGCGACGGAGAACGGCACGTGTGTGAGGTGTGCCGTGACACGTGGCCGGCTCCTCACCGTTTTGGGTGTGGGCAGAGCCCGGAAGCCCCCGTGAGACCGCATGTGGCCATTCAGGGCCGGCAGACTCTTGAACACCTTCTTGCAGGTAGAGCACAGGAGCTTGTTGCTGCTGTCGTCCTTCTGCAACACCTCTGGTTTGACCACAACACTGCAGGCGGCATGACCGTGGAAGGGGATGCTTAACAGGTGACCATGTGACATGCAATACTAACGTTCGACAAATTACCACCTTTAACAAAATTTATAATGAAATCAAATGTGAAACCAAATGAACTTATACCTGTGGTCAGGAGACAGTGGATCGTCCTGGTAGTTTGGTAAGCGCATCTATAGGAGCAGAACAGAGAACAATGAGAAGCTTTTATATTTTTCTATATGTTTTATCAACTTATGTACCTTAACCCGTGCACCTAAAGTATTTCAAAAATCCAAGCAAGATTCATTCATATTCTGCTTAAATATATTAGCGACCTACCCAGAACACACCAAGTAATGCATTTATTTTGTTTGTTTTCATAAAAATTCAGGTTTGCTTAATACTTCTGGCCAAGTAGAGAAGCATTACAGGTATTGCTTGTTATACACGCACTGTGTTTACACAATATGGCAGCAGGCCAGAAGGTGCACACCCATCTGCCTGTGGACACACCAAAGCGTGGGACTGTTTTCATAAGCGAATTTGGGAACCAGACACCAGGCACTTCAAGACACTTTCAAGATGGACGTTGTACTAAGTAGGAGACTGTATATAAGGTACAGATAGACAGATAACATAAAATAAAATGTCTTGCACTCTTTTTGAGTTCTTTTTCTTGTTTTCAGGTTTATGATACATTCATATAAATTTCTGTAAGCAGAAAGTTAAAGTCTCTAGCTTTAGTTGGTGAACACTCTTTGAATTGTTTGCCACATCCCTTTCGTCAACGAATTAACTGTCTCGTTTTACATGTGCGATTCTTTAAATGGGAATCATGCAGACCTGCGACCCTAATAGGATAAGTGGTTTAAGATGGGAGAATGGAATCTAACAATGAAAAATATGCCACTTGTAACACACCATAAAAACACATTATATATTTACCTACTTAGCTAACTGATGAGTTGGGTTTAACTAAGTTACCATTTGTGACTGAATATACAAGAGGGTCAAACAAGACTTTGCAAGTACAGAAAGTCAACTTTAACTCAATTTAATTCAGCTAATTGCTACTGTTTTAAAACAGCCTATTAATTTTTAGTTGAAGACGCCCTGATTTATGAAAAGACTCTCTAATGGAAGAAGAAGGCGTGTTCTTTATAGTCCGGAACATCCACCGATAACAGCCCTATGCAGTCAGGCCACAACACGCTCTTTATTCAGCTCCTTTGAAAATTGCATTGAATATTAAAAAGAAACTGTTCTCACACACACAGGGTTGTGTTAACTGCCAGGTATGCGTGTGTTCAGCAGGCATGTGTGTGTGTGTGTGTGTGTGTGGG